AAAGGCCTAAAACCTTTAGGTTTTCTGATTGAAGCAAGATAAGAGCGGCTATTGAAATTAGTAAGTTATCGAATAAATTGGAAGTGAGGAACAGTGCTAAAAAGTTAAGTAAGAACAACTTATGCTTGATTGATAGATTGAAAGTGAAAGAGAGGTTTGGGCCACCTTTCTAAAGAAGGCGACCCAACTTGTCTCTTCAGCGATGGTTCAAACTTGACCCACACTACTTTTACTTGTCACATTTAGCTCATCAACTGAACCAAACATGCCAGATTACGCAGCTCTGGTCAGGCTTTTCCTTGTCTGGTTAAGCTTTCAAGACCCTTGACTGAGATGGTAGGGTAGGACAAGTGTTTGGTAACTTGACTTACACGCTTACAAGCTTACGTCTCCTTCCCTCAACCATACTTGCTCGCGGACTAATTCACTGTCGGGAATAGCTTTTTCTTGGGTCACTAATCCTTTAGCACCAGAGCCTGGCATTAGCCCATTTTGATCACTCTGATTTCGGATCGGTATTGCGTGTTCACGATAACACACACACACACACACAAGAGCAAAATTAGTGCGACCTGTATGAAAGATATTTAGCCAAACAATTCAATATCTATCTATGACTGTTCATTTTCGTTTTTTGGTATTATTTTAAAGAAATGGTATGATATAGCCGGATATTCTTATTTACCGATTGTTAGCTTTAGACTTTTACAAGAATGAGTTCCAGTTTTTATGATATTCATCTAATGATGGACAAAAGCGAACCTCGTTTTCACCTAAAGCGAGGGAGGATGTCTCATGGACTGCGTCATCTAAAGGTCGTATTGAAGCTAAACGCACACAATAAAATGGGATTCAACTGTTGATTTCTGATGACATCAACCCATGAATATCTTCTTACTGCACTTTTATGCGAAATGAAAGTCTCTCTAGCAATAAGATTAAATATTATAAGAGACGATTTGATATCATCCAGAAGTAAATAATTTAAATAATGGGAAAATACCTGGCTCTCTTTAAAATTCACAACTGCCCTTTGGGCATGTAGCTTTATTGTTAACCAATTAAAATTATATTCTGCATTCACACCACCCTAGTTCGAATTCCCTCTGGAGTGCTGATGCGACCTAGACGAGGTAGAAACTGCACTCCACTCCTGTCTAGATAAAAGTACCTTTAGGGAAGCAAGGCTATGTGAAATTTAATGGAAGCATGAGACTTATTTATATAATTGTGGGAAAATTCAACTACCAGTTCTTCATTATCTTAACAAAATCGGATGAATAAATCTCAATTTAAGTAAACTTTATGTAATCTGAATTAATTCTTAATGGCAAGATGCTGTTTGGCTAAAATAAAACGTTTAAAGCACTTTTTCTTGAATCCATAATATCAATATATACATATATATATATACATATATATACTATTTTGTGAACATTCAGCGATTTTGACGTTGATTAAATAATAACTTTTTCAAATTAAATCTCTTAATAATCTAATTACACCAAAAATATTTCTAATTTTGAGACCTTATGTAAACCTGATGCTAATAAGATGTTAAAAAATCTATAAAGTCTATAGTAAAAGTATAAGTTATGCAAAAAATTTTGTCACAAAATGTGAACAAGTAGTTAAATTATGTGAAATAAATAAGTAAGACTATGAGTGTTCCATTTGGGTTAATACTTGTCATTATATTTTATATAAATATTGCAAAGCATCTGCCTTAATTTGATTAGGTTACGTGGGGGGAAGGAGGCAAAAAATCTTAGAAGTAGTTAAGTCAGTCGTCAAAATCTACAGGCACAGGTTTAAGGAAATTCTTTTTGTGGTAAAACTCAACTAATATTGCATAGATCAGCATAAGTGAACTAGGGTGATTAGGTTGGGTGACTAGCATAGAAATGCATACCAACTAGGTCTTCCTGACAGCACAATCAATGCAAGACCTATAATCATCACACGGAGTAAACACAATGAGAATAAGCATAGTCAAACTTGAGAGCAGAGTGTCATTGTATCGCTTTGAAAAATTCTGAAAAAAGCTAAACTATACTTGATTTTAAATTCTGC